TCTATAACACATCCATGTGAATATGCATACCAAGTTTTAACCCAATCAGACTTGTACTTCCGAAGTTCAGTTTGAAGAAAAACGTGTACAAAACCAATATGGAAACAATACATCTTTAATGTGATGTAACCTGACACCTCATGACGCCACGATGACGAATTTCTTCTAGGACCATCTATGGGTAGTGGTCTAAGTGTGTATCAAGTATAAAGTCGATCAAGTTTACGAAAGTGCCAAAGTGTATGGTTTGAAGAAAAACGTGTACAAAACCTATGGGGAAAATGTGCATCTTTAATGTGAAGTAACGTGACACCTGATGACGTCACGATCACGAATTTCTTCAAGGACCATCTGTGGGTGATGGTCTAAGTGTGTACCAAGTGTAACGTCGATCGGATTTACGAAAATGCCAAACTGGAGTGTTTTAAAACGTGTACAAAACATATGGGCAAAAATGCATCTTTAATGTGACGTAACCCGACACCTGATGACGTCACGATCACAAATTTCTTCTAGGACCATCTGTGGGTGGTGGTCTAAGTATGTACCAAGTCTGAAATCAATCGGATTTAAAAAAGTGGCAAAGTGGATTGGTAGAAGAAACGTGTGTTAAACCTATGGAGAAAAAGTCTGAAAAAGGAGAAAAAAAAAAAAGAAAAACTAGAAATGTGTTTGTGGACAAACACAAGCTGTTTCGGATATTTGAAATACTCTGTGCACGTGATGAACACTTGATGAAGTCACTTCGAATGGCATCTGCCAAGTGAAAAGTCAATCAGACATATAGTGCCAATTAGTATGATTTGAAGAAAAACGTGTACAAACCCTATGGGGAAAAATGCATCTTTAATGTGAAGTAACCTTACACCTGATGATGTCACGATCACGAATTTCTTCTAGGACCATCTGTAAGTGGTAGTCTATGTGTGTACCAAGTCTAACGTCGATCGGATTTACGAAAGTGCCAAAGTAGAATGTTTTAAAACGTGTACAAACCCTATGGGGAAAAATACATCTTTAATGTAACGTAACCCAACACCCGATGACGTCACGATCACAAATTTCTTTTAGGACCATCTGTGGATGGTAGTCTAAATGTGTACCAAGTCTGACGTCGATTGGATTTACAAAAGTGCCAAAGTGGAGTGTTTTATAACGTGTACAAACCCTATGGGGAAAAATACATCTTTAATGTGACGTAACCCAACACCTGATGACGTCACGATCACAAATTTCCTGTAGGACCATCTGTGGGTGGTGGTCTAAGTATGTATCAAGTCTGAGGTCGATCAGATTTACAAAAGTGCCAAAGTGGAGTGTTTTATAACGTGTACAAACCCTATAGGGAAAAATACATCTTTAATGTGACGTAACCCAACACCTGATGACGTCACGATCACAAATTTCTTCTAGGACCATCTGTGGGTGGTGGTCTAAGTATGTATCAAGTCTGAGGTCGATCGGATTTACGAAGAGGCCAAAGTGGAGTGTTTTAAAACGTGTACAAAACATATGGGAAAAATGCATCTTTAATGTTACGTAACCCGACACCTGATGACGTCACGGTCACGAATTTCTTCTAGGACCATCTGTGGGGGGTGGTCTAAGTATGTATCAGGTCTGAAATCAATCGGATTTGAAAAAGTGGCAAAGTGGACTGTCAGAAGAAACGTGTGTTAAACCTATGGAGAAAAAGTCTGAAAAAGGAGAAGAAAAAAAAAGAAAACTAGAGGTGTTTGTGTACAAACACAGCTGTTTCGGCTGTTTGGAGAGACGTCGACTTGTGACGACATCGTCATGATGTCACTATTAAATTCACGTATGACACTATAACAAGAAGTTACAACTCAATCAGTTATTTAGCTGAAACGAAACAACCGATATGATGAGACGATGACAGAAAGTGTTAGGTATGACACGTGACGATTTAAGGTACTTTTCGAAAGAGAAATGGGACAAATATTTCAAAAATTGAGAGAAATTGACAACATTAATTGTTTTGACCGCTGCACATTTTGAAAGGCCCTTTTGGTTTCATGCTTGACGACCTATGCACATAACACAATTACAAGCGAATCGGACCTTAGTTCGATCACATACCAAGTTACAACCAAATTAAGTTACAACGTATAGTTCTTTAGATATCCATATAGACCACAGAAACAATGTCCCTTTAGTTAACATGACATGAAATCACATAACATGCAATGACGCCACGATAATATCACACTATTTTTCATCACATCCCGGTAAACGTACATATATGTATGTACATGTACATGTATTAAACCCAATCTGACATAAAATTGGTTTAATATGACGTCACATAACTTGTGATGACGGTATGATGACGGCAATTAACTTTTATCTGTAGCACATTCCAATATAAGTACATAAAAAGTTACAGCTAAATATGACCTATAGTTCTGTAGTTATAAGCTTTAGAAACATGCTCGTTTCATGTGTTGTAACATGACTTGTGATGACGTCATGATGACTACAATTTTCTTCTGCATGTATAACAAATCCCAATATAGGTTACTACCAAGTTTCAACCACATCGGACCAACAGATGTGTAGTTATAGGCCTCAGAAAAATAATGGCGGTTAAATACACCGAATCTGAGTTTCCCTCCAACGCTTTTAGTTTGTAGGCCTACGTACTTAACAACCAACTTACAAAATACATCAATTCTGAGTATCCGTGTATACAACAAGTGTATAGGTATATATCGTCGTCGTCGTCCACAAAAACAATCAAATCTGTGTTTCTGTCTTAACCGGCGTTGTATGTGAACCAAGCAGCTAACAAAACATATGAAATCTCTGTTTCCCTCAAACGCTTTAGTTTGCACGTACTTGCCAACTTACAAAAGACATCAATTCTGAGTATCCCTGTATGCAATAAGTGTATGGGTAAATATCGTCGTCGTCGTCCACAAAAACAATCAAATCCGTGTTTCTGTCTTAAGCAGTGTTGTATGTGAACCAACCAGCTAACACAAAAAGCATAGGTGTATGCAAAATTAGAAATTCTTTAAATTTGTTTAGTTCTGATAAATCATGATTATTCCAACTCACATACCGAACTACAAGTTTGTGTCACATTTACGTAAGCCGCATAAATTTGTGGCATCATGACGGTACCGCGTAGAGTACGTGGGGACCTGGGCCCAATTTGATGGCGCTGCTAAGCACACGATTTTCTGTTAACGGAGTCTATTTCACGGAGGCCGGAATTAGCAGTAAGCACTGCGAAGAGCTTGCTAACTTCACAAGCAAAATTTGGTTGAAGTCGTGACGCAACAATAGTTTGACCGGCGTTTGTGGCGAGTGCGCGGGCTTCTCATTTTTCGGAGGCCGGGGGACATGTATGTTGTGGACAATGCAGGTTTTGTGGTGTAAACTTACAAAATAATGATTTCATACGTACGAATACGTAATAAAGTATAATACATGTACTGTGTACATGTATTACGATTTTCATGAGGATACTCGACATCTTTACCTCAGCATCAAAATGCGCGTTCAGACTTTACATTCAGATTTTTGAAAAGCGTGGATCTTTTAACTGCATTTTGCAAGATTGAGGTTTCAGAAACCTGCGAGCAGGCCTTGTTTATCACAGATATTATCTGTTCCTAAAACTCGCCTGGCTACTGCGGGGAGCGGGCGCAATTCCAGTTGTGCATCACGTCTCGGGAATTCGTTAATTACCAGACGAGTTAAGGGAAACAACTGATGTGTCATTATTCAAATGCCATAAGACTCATCTTTTCAATGTTTTGAACCACAGTGATTTTGTAGCGACCAGCGCCTTTGAATGGTCCTGCAGATACCATGCGCCTTATATATTTTGTTATTATTATTATTGATACGGACGATTATACTGATGCGTCAACATTTGTGAAGGTACATAATTAGCGCCATATCCTATATCCCCTATATACTTTAATTAAGATTAGTTTAACATCCAAGAAAAGTTGCGACTTTTCATTTTGCTATATATTTATGACGGCCTAATGTCGACGCTCAATGTTTTTATTGTTTTTTTTTCAGCCACTCTGTAAAAATAAAAAGAATGGCATGGATCAGCAAAAGTACAAAAACTGTGGTCCATGGACCGGACCTGCTGCCCCAGTTGAATGTTCGTCTATAAGACATAATATCATAGCTAAATACGTTACAACCACATCTGACATAATAGTTCTGTACTAAGAGCTAGTTAGGCCTTAGAAATATCCCCTTTAATGTTACGTCCTATACGATTGTGTGATGCGTCTTTGAATTGGAAAACAGATTTTTAAAATGAAAGAGCCTTGTGTTGGTAAATTAATTGTAAGAAGTGTGGCGATTAGACGTTACTTAAAAAGATATGCGGTGACCAATGTGTTATTCGGGTGCTGTTGCAATTGTAAGAGGTATACGATGGTGGTGACATTCTGATAGGGTGTCACTAAAGAACGCAGGATGACGTTTGCAAGGACGTCAACATTAATGTGTTATATTTTTATGCAAAATCGGTGCATGATCTCAAACTCATTTTAAAAGATGTACAAAGATGTTGAATCATTTTCTATTCACTATGAAGTAATGCATATGAAGTTTCTTTTGGAAACGGCTTTTTGTTTAATTGTTTTTTAATTAATCATAAAACCCGTGAATGTGGGTACATTGAGGTTATGTTTTGAGTTCTAAAAAGGTGGTATTATGATATAAAGATTATTTGTGTGGATGGTAAACAAGTATTTGGGTTTGGAATTGAGAAATACAATCCGTATTGAAGGAATAAAATGACTCGGCGGTGCCCGCGGCGCGGCTTCGGCGGAAGTGTCATCGCGTTATAGGCCCGGCTAGACGCGCGCAAAGTATAGGCTTTGGGAAAGTTGACTTTCTTGTCGCGAAAGAAAGGGCGCCCTCTTTTTGAGGTAGAAGGTGCATTGACCTCTAGCTGTGAAAATGACGCGTTGGATGTATTGCATGGGCATGGTAACGTCCGGTAGCCTGGCTACAGAAAGTGTTGGGCCATGCTAAACTGTACACGGTGTACCAGACTATTGTGGAGACGGTGAGATACGGCGTGGTACTATTGTTGGTTTAGTTTAGAGGATTTTTTCGGTGTTTTTTATGGGATTATTTACATTTCTTTGTATGTGTGTGTTACAATAATTGGGGAACAATAGGTGTGGTTGTATTATATCGATATATCAGGTGTGAAATGGCGCATATTACCGTGAAGTGCTTCATGTCTGTGCGTAGCCCCATCATGCCCATAAATGTGGCCTATTTACTATACTGGACTGCCATGACTGCCTTCGTAAACATAGGCCACACGTACATCCACATGTACAAAAATGTGTCGCACTTTGCCAAATTTTGATTTCACATTTAGACTTAGTTTGTAGGGTTTTTTTGCTTTAGAAGCAAACTCATCCTCTGAATAGGCTAATCAGGAAGTGCTGCCTTTTTTCAGATGGCTAATTTTTGCTAAATTTCATGTTGACAATGATAGTAATGATACGTAGCTGGAGTTACCCAGCCCTGAGTTTTATCATTGGGTTGTCTATTAGGGCTGGAGTGTATTTTTCTCGTAATTAGTAGTATATTCAAAAAATTTTGGAAAATGTTCAATTTTGTCCCCGTTACACACTAATTGCAACTACAACTCACCCCAAACTTGCCTGGAATAACCATTACACAGGTCCTTGAAGTAAAAAACGATCCACGATGAAGATTCAGCCTACAATTGCAGTGAAAACAGGAGGAATAACCGCTAACTTGACAACCTTGCTGGATTGGCCAGGACTGCTATTGGTTTGTGCACTAAAAAAAAATTGTGTACAATGAATGGCGGCGGTCGATTACCATCCACGTACAGCTCGCTGGTACTACGCGTTTTTGCGGTCGGTGCATGACGTGACGCAGAAGCGTAATACCCGATGACTGTTTCATGCATTAACACTGCACTATGAATGCACGATAGCCGGCCAACTCGACGGTTGCCGTTCCAGTACCGCACTGTGATGCGAGTGAACCTCTTCTTAATGCATGAAACAGTCATCGGGTATTACGCTTCCGCGTCACGTCATGCACCGACCGCAAAAACGCGTAGTACCAGCGAGCTGTACGTGGATGGTAATCGACCCCCGCCATTCATTGTTGTCAAGTTAGCGGTCATTCCTCCTGTTTTCACTGCAATTGTAGGCTGAATCTTCATCGTGGATCGTTTTTTACTTCAAGGACCTGTGTAATGGTTATTCCAGGCAAGTTTGGGGTGAGTTGCAGTTGCAATTAGTGTGTAACGGGGACAAAATTGAACATTTTCCAAAATTTTTTGAATATACTACTAGTTACGAGAAAAATACGCTCCAGCTCTAGAGACAACCCAATGATAAAACTCAGGGCTGGGTAACTCCAGCTAGTTGATACGTAAACGTGTGCAAATGGATCTGGAAATTTCACGAAAAATAGACATCTGGAAAAGGCAGCACTTTCTGATTAGCCTATTCAGAGGGTGAGTATGCTTCTAAAGCAAAAGAAACTTACAAACTAAGCCTAAATGTGAAAATCAAAACTTGGCAAAGTGCGACACGTTTTTGTACATGTGGATGTGTGGCCTATGTTTTCGGAGGCAGTCCAGTAAATAGGCCACATTTATGGGGCTAGTCTGTACGTAATTGCTATGCCCGCTATGCCCAACTCAGTAATACTAACATTATTTTGTCGTGGGAAAAATGATGCATGTACATGTAGTCTAGTTGTACAATAGTTTGATACCACCTTGGTGATCACTGAAAAATAATGAAAGGTGGGGGGGGGGGGGGGGGGGTGGGCATATAGAAGTGCACATGTTATGTCATGTTATGACTGTATTTGCCAACTAATAATAGTAATGAGCCTTAATCCTAGACAATGCTAGAGTTGGGGTTTATATAAGATGTAAATATAAAATAAGGAAAGAATGTCGATTTTATTATTGAATTATTTAAATGGAATAATTCAGTCTGATGCAAAGTTATCAGGGATTTACTTAGACATGTTAGATAAGGCTCGCTGTTTGTGTGGGAATTTCCTGCATACATGTACATGTATATAGTTTGCGAATAAAATAAAATTGCACTGTTCTCTTTTTACAAACACGAATAATTCTCAAGATATGTCATGGTCACGTTGTTTTGTCAGCTGTGTGAAATTATGAGTTTAAAATTCTCACTGAGTATTAAGTGAAATCATTTTCTAATTTAATGTTAAAAACATGGTGGCATTAGTGACTTAAAGTCAGTTTTTATATCCTACAATCAAATGACAAAGATGTGTATGTCGTTATATAAAACAAATAATGAATGTTTTTCATTCGTGCAATGGAGAGAATATTTCCATTCGTTGAAAGAAGAAATGTTCCATCTTTCAACTCATGGAAATATTCTCACCATTGCACTCGTAAACATTTATTATTTGTATACTTTCCCAATTGTACTTTAGATATTGAGGAGGGGGGCTTAAGTACTTGACAATTGTAAAGGACCAAACTTTGTATAATGAAGGGGGGCATAGCCTGTCATTTTGTTAGAATTTGGCAATTTTTAAGTGTTCATTTGCTTTTCTCTGTTTGTTTTTCCTTGGGGGGGGGGGGGGGGGCATTTTGGGTGATTGCCTCCCAATACGCTGTTATATTCATTCCAATGGAGAGTGGCCGTCTAGTTGGAAAATGTTATTTATAGTTGGGATATACTTAAGGACCGATGCTGTAGTCAAGGGCCATTCACAATAACTATATTCATGGGAAAGAGTTCTATACACAAACAACACTTGACCCCCTGTGTACAAATCCTATGCGACTGCTCTGAAGAATTGTATTTTTTTGCTAAGTAAATGCCTTTTCACTACTATAATTTGACGGATAAGGGCATGTCATTGCTGTTCATGGCTTGTAGGCCACTATAGGGAAAAATAAGCGTTGTCCGTGTATGGAACTCTTCTGTATTTATAATATGTGTTATTTATCGTTTTTCTCTCTTTTCTCTGTTTTGCAGAAAATGGTGAAGACGCTGAAGAAGACGAGCTGTGACGTTCCTTCAACTTCCCTGAGGTTGGCACCTCCTCAGGGAAGACGCCTGCCTGTGTTTCACAGGCAGTGCGCAAACCAGCTGGTACACGCAGACTGTGTGCTCGTACTCGGAGAACAAAGGTTCCAGCGTGTTCCTTGTTCTCACTGGGAGGGTACTGGGGCCAGCGTGCCCTTCAGCTGGATTAATCTTGAGAAAAGATGCACAGATAACATGAGAAAACATGAGATTAAACAGAGAGAATATGAACAGAAACTAAACAGGAAATATGACTTGAAACTGAGAGCATATGAGTATAATCACAGAGCATACGAGTTTAACCTGAGATACCACATCGATGATACTGAGCCTAGATGCAGTGACTATCTTGTGCAGAGAAGAAGGGTGAGTGAACTGAAGATGCGGAGAATCAACAAAATGACAAAGCAGAGAGTAAGTAATCAGAAAGCATTGAGAAGCTTGAAGGTAAGCAGACAAACATGCTGTAGCAGAAGTCAGGTATTGGAAAGTTATGTAGAGTACTGTCAAGAGGCAAAGAAGGTTTCTAAACCAAATAGAAAGAAAATGAGAAGAAGCCAACGTAGACAGGCCTACCACAGAATGAGGAATGGTAAGATGATCGAATTGCGCATGAGTAAGGTGGACAGAAGAAACCAGAAGAATGCCCAGAAGAATTTACAAAGTCACACTAGAAGAAGTTTGAGTAATGTCCTGAACAACATGCCAGATAAGGGAGACAAATGCATAGTGCAGAAACACAGCAGATATCAGTGTAAACCATGGAGATCACAAAAGAAGAGTAAATTTGCAAAGAGATCGAATGTAAATGAAATTCAAGACAAGCAGTGCTGGTTGTGCGATAGGAGTATTAAGTCATCTGAAAACAAGGTGCAGTGTGATGGCTGTGACATTTGGTATCATGTGCATTGTATGAATTTCTCAAAGATGAAACGGCTGTTGAGCAACAAAGCTGTGACATGGTTGTGCAGAAAATGTGGGAGGAGTACTTATTCTGAGTCTCTGTTATGTAATCTTGGTATTCCAACAGATGATAACATGTATGAGTTGACAGTTCAGGAGACATGCACCGATGATGTGGTCAGAGAGAGGTTGGCGAGTGGAATGTGCAGGAAGGACAGCAACAAAGACAATCAGAGAAAAAATGTAAGTGATGCAAACAGAAAACAAAGAACAGGTTGCATGAAATTAAAGACTGAAACCAAAGAAGTGGTGGTACGTAGGCAGACAGGTGGTTACTCACTACGGAGCAAGAAAAGCCAACCCCCAGAAGTAGATGATACAGATGAAAATCAAACTAGCATGTCCGAACCTGTTGGAAGGAGGGGTAGAAGAGGTGCAAGAAATGGAAAGGTTGAAGACAGTGTTGACAAGGGCAGTAAAACTGGTGAACAAAGTTGTCAATCAAAGAATTTGCAAGGTGAATGCAATTGTGAAACAAGACGTGAAACAGCATATCCAGTTAGTAGGAAACGGCAGCTATCAAGTGACAATAAAAGTGGTGAAACAAAACATAAACAAAAGGAGGTACATGTACAAAATGCACATGAAGTTTTAGATAGTGAGCATGATGTCAAAGCCAAAGGTAATGTCAAAAAATGCAAAATTTTGCAACATGAAACATGTAAATCTGTGGGAGGCAAACACAATCAGGAGAGTAAAAGAAAATGTAGTAGAGGAAAGAATTACATTGGATCAGACACAATGATTGTGCAGGGAAGTTTTCATCAAGGTGATCATAGATTTGGATGGAGTTCAGGAAAACAATGTGTACCGAACAGTTTGTGCTGTGTTTTATACAGTAAAGTCAAAGAGTTGAAAGACTGGTCTTGTAGTGATATTGATACTACACTAAATACTGGAAATGAGTTATACAGACATTTATCCAGAAGTTCTACAGTGAATACTCAATACTTGTTGATAAATGAACTGCCAAATGAATTGGATTTGCTCAATCATCATTTCAGTATGAGGTTTCATGATCCTGTATGTGGTACATTAGGAGAAGAGTGTAATTTGCCAGAATTTCATATGATGCCGCTGAATCGTACATTAGAACAGAGTCTTCAACAACACTATGCAAGTTTCATATGTTTCCATGGAAATACATTTGTTGTAATTACTCAAGATGGCATGTATTATATCTTTGATTCTCACTCTAGAAACCAGCAAGGTTGCCAAGTCAGTGAAGGAACAAGTCTGTTGAAACGTGTTGCTACTTGGCAAGATGTACACAGGTATTGTAGTGATTTGGCAAAGTCTATGTGCTTGTCTGATAATGAGCAGTTTGAAGTTACAGGTGTATCTGTGTGGTTAGATGATGAGGAAAGACACGATGCTGATGCAAGTATATGTACGGAAGACAATAATGATTCAGTACTGGCAAGGAGTGATTGCAATAAAGCAAAAGTGGATGAAGGAAACTCTGGGTCTATAGTAGATGTTGGTTCTGGTAGAGGTTTGTCAAGGACATGTACGGATCTACCAAATAATTTGAAGGAAGGCAACAAACATAGTTGCAGTGAAATGAGTCGCAGTAATAAAGTCAATGACAACAGTGATGTTGAAATTATGGAAGTGGTCCAGATGCAAAGGTTTAAATTTGTTCCCCTGACTTATAATAGGAAGCAGGCAGTATGTAGTGAACATAGAATAGGCCACGTATCTCTGGACTGTAATGAGGTTTCAGATACATGTGAAGAGATAGGACGACCTGATTCAGTGAAGAAAATTAAAGGAGATGGGAACTGCTTTTTCAGGGCTATATCATTTGCTGTGTCAGGATCTGAGGATAATCATTTGCAGTTAAGAATGGCTACTGTCAATCACTTGTTAAAAAATGGAGATAAATTCAATGGTTTTCTGCGACAAGGATTTGTTAATGTGGAAGATTATATCACAAGGCAACGAATGTTTGACTCTGGAGTGTGGGCTACAGAGGTTGAAATCATGGCGATGGCACACTTGCTGCATACAGACATATATACATTTGAAGATGTAAATAAGTGGTATGTTTTCTCTGCAAGCACCTTCGAGAGAGAGGCTGTAATATTAGATGAGGCAATTTACTTGTACCATAGGCGTAGAATTCACTATGATGTTGTGTTGTCAGTTCATGAATCGACTCAATCAAGAAGGCAATGTGATAATGGACAACAGAAAGTAACAAGTCATAAAGGAGCAGAATGTGTGAAAAATGGTACCTCCAGTAAGTCGGAAAAGAATTCGAAGTGTAAAAGGCGTAAGCGATCAAATACAAAATTACAACAAAGAAAGAAAAGAGAGAAAGCTAAGGAAAGGTATGCAGACAAGGTGCGTGAAAAGAATAGGATTTTAGAGCAAAAGCAAAGTAAAAAGATGAAAAACCAGAAGAACTACCAAAAGAATGCAGACAAGAAGAAGGAATTGCTAAAAATAAAGTACAGTAGTGACATGGACTTTAAAACAGAGCGATTAAAGGCTCAAAAGAGAAACTATAACAATGAAACGCATAAAAAAGGTATTCTGAAGCATAAAAAAGAGAAATATTGTCACAATCAAGAATACAAAGAAAAGAAAAGAAACAGTGGGAAAAGAATTTACCATGATAATCCTGAATATAGAGAGCGGCTAATCACTAAGGGGAAAAGAAAGTATAGTCAGAATCCTGAGTATAGAGAGAAGCTGATCACTAAGGGGAAAACAAAGTATTACAATAATCCTGAATACAGAGAAAACAAAATCAATAAGGGTAAAACAAAGTATAACCAGAATCCTGAGTACAGAGAAAAGTTAATCACTGAGGGGAAAAGAAAGTACCGTGATGATGCAGGATATAGAGAAAAGCTAATAAATTATGAAAAAAGCAAGTGTAAAGCGCAGTACCATAAAGATCTTGCTTATAGACAGATGAAAATTAATCGAGCTAAATGTAAATATCATGGCAATGTTTCATATAGAAGAAAGCTCATTGCAAGTATCAAAAAGAAATACCGATGTGTGACATCTTACAGGGCAAAATTAATAAGGTATGGAAAAAGGAAGTATAAAAAAAATAATGAATATCGTAAAAGTATGGCAAAGATGAATTACAAACGTGCTGCGATTAACAAAGAGAAAAGACGTAACATTTGTTATGTTACAAAGAAATTCAAAGAAAGCATAGCTAAAGGACCTGAGTATGTGTGTGCTTGCTGTCATAAACTGCTGTTTCAAAAGCAAGTTATACAGTGTAACCTGTACAAATACAGAGATCAGTCATCTATTAGTGACAAATATCTTCATACTTGTAGTGATCATTGTGAATCCAAGTGTATGATTGCAGAATCAAGCAGATCGTGTTTATGGATATGTTATACCTGTCACAGAAAATTACTTGTTAATAAAGTCCCTGCTGAAGCTAATGTGAATAATTTAAAGCTGATGGACATTCCTGAGGAATTAGCATGTTTGAATACGTTAGAAGAGCATCTCATTGCAATAAATGTACCGTTCATGAAAATGATTGCATTGCCTAAAGGAGGACAACATGGTGTACGAGGTCCAGTTGTATGTGTACCATCAAATATAACAGACACAGTGAAAGCATTGCCAAGGCCTCAAAATGATGATCAGATGATCCGAGTCAAGTTGAAGAGGAAATTGACTTATAAAGGATATTATCAATATCAGTTTGTGAGTAAAGAAAATGTGGAGAATGCGTTACGATATCTTCAACTTAATAATATATGGTTCAGTGACATTGAAATAAATGCTGATTGGGACAATCCATTGTGTGAAGATGATAATAAAATTGATCAGTCTGTACATGATATGAAAGAAGAAGCAAATAATGAAAGTGATAACAGTGATGAAGAAACTGATGACGATCGTTTACGAGGCATTGCATTAGACACTTGTCTTCAGCCAACTAACGTAGGACAGGAAATACTTGATCAGTATTTTGACGAAGTGCTGTGTGTGGCTCCTTGTGAAGGCAATAGTCCAATTAGAGTGTCAATGGAAAAGGGTAATGAAGCCAAATGCTTTCCAGCATTATTTCCATCAGGTCAACCTATTTTTGATGATGATCGTGAAATGAAATTGACACTTTGCCGATATTTCCATAACCGATTGATGAATGTTGATAATAGATTTGCAATGTGTACTCAATATATCTTTTATGCTCAGTATTTGTCAGAGATTCAGAGAGTTATGTCTAGTGTTTCTATTGCACTGCGAAAAGGATCTGATAAAAAGTATAATGGTGACAGTGTGAATGCCTCCATGATCAATGACAGGGACCAATTACAAGATATGTTGAAGTCAGATAGTGGATACAAATTTCTCAAGCCTATTCGTGGTACACCCCCATATTGGCAAGCAGCACAGAAAGATGTTTTGGCTATGATCAGACAGTTAGGAATACCAACATGGTTTTGTTCATTTTCTGCAGCAGATATGCGGTGGCCTGAGGTAATCAATACAATTTTAAGACAGCAAGGTGATTCTAGAGATGTAGAAGATTTGGACTGGAATGAGAAATGTACCATATTGCGAAGTAATCCTGTAACTGCTGCGAGAATGTTTGATCAGCGATTCCATACGTTTCTGAGAGATGTTATACTGTCCAGAGCTGAACCGATAGGAAAAGTCATAGATTATTTTTACAGAGTAGAATTTCAACAAAGAGGATCGCCACATACACATTGTCTTTTCTGGATTGAAAATGCACCAAAGTTGGGAGATGACAGTAAAAGAGAGGTTGTACAGTTTGTTGACAAATATATAAGTTGTAAATTACCATCACAGGACAAGGATGAAGTGTTACATGAAATAATTAGTCATGTACAGTTGCACAGCAGAAAGCATTCCAAGTCATGTAAAAAGAAGGGTACTGAGTGTAGGTTTAATTTTCCAAGACCTCCATCTGAACGAACATTCATTACAGAGCCCATGCCAACAGAGCTCATGCCAACAGACGATGAGGATCAAACTAATGGTGAAAGTAGTGAAAAAAATAAGGCTAAGGAATTACTGCAATCAATATGGACTGCAATACAAAAAACTGAGAATGAACACATGACAACCAGTGAATTATTTGCAAGTATAAAGCTGACACAAAGTGATTTTGAAAAAGTTAATGATGTATTAAGTTGCAAAGCCAGTTTAGTTCATAAGAGACAGCC